ATTCCTAAAAGGTATAATTAAGGAATGACAAATTGAATTTAGCATAACAATGGTGCTAAGGTTTGTGGCTCATTTTTTTTAAAAAAAGGCATTGGAATAAAACAGGCGCCTATGTAAAATCCTAGATTACAGCAACACTGTCTTGGATATTTTAGTCTATGAATTTGGCATTTTTTTGTGGGACCTAGTACAGTGGAAAATAATCCCAAGGTATTCAAAAGCCTGAGTTTCAAATTTATTCAGTTTTGACGCAATTAATACATTATATTTTACTCAAAGACCAAACGCTGCGTATCATCTGAAAAATGTATTGGAACCGGAAGCATTCATAGAATCTATAGCCTTCACCAGAATGATGAAACGGATCTCTGTTTCTTACATGCATGCAACATCACAATATCCATACAAAACAGACTGAATGCGCATTCTGGTGCATGCATCATCATTTCTCAACCTGTTCCCAATACAGGTTCCCCCCAGTTGTATCTGTTCTTCAGCTGGATATTATGCAGGATAAATATCCTTTATCATTGCCTTCATTAAAAACAGGAAAATGTTACATTTGTCTCAAAAACAAAAGAGATTTGTTGAAGCAATTCAAAATACTCCATTTACTATTACTACTACCACCACTACCACTACTACTACTATTACTACTAATAATAATAATATCAATTGCCCAGGGTAGCTGGAAGCTTGGTGGCATATATATTTTACTATACATGCCATCAAGCTTCTAGCTACCCCGGGCAATTGATACTATTATATATAATTATACTATCTGATAACTTAATAAACATAAAGAGATTCTAGCTTTTTAAACCAGATGACTTTAAAAAAACATATAAAAATATAATTTATACCTTTTCATGAATTTTTTGTCCAGGCTCCATTCCTTTGATATGCTCTGTATCAGATGGATCCTCTCCTGATGTAATTTTTCTTTGAATGTGTGCATTTTGTTCACGCAAAGCTGTAATCTAGAAAAGAATTTAGAATAAATTCTTAATGTAAAATCCATACAGTGAACACCATAAATTTACAGTACAAGTATATCTTATAAATCAGTATACAATAACTAGATAATGTGATCAAAAATGGTAAACAAAATGTGATTTTTATACTTTCCATATATGTTATTTCATTGTGAAGAAATGCAACTATTGTACAACAGTGGCAAGAATTCCAAAGTTGATTCCCAGCATTCCTCAACATTAGCCTCAATAGTTTGCTGTTGGGGTAACAACTCACTAGTATAAAGAAAGCCGGATGTTTTTCTCATTGCAAAAAGATATTAAAAAAACACATCAAATTTTATTATATTCTATGACACAGTGCAATGAGAATAGCAAAATCTATGAAGCTATGAAGTAGGATATGCCAGCACATTGAATTTAGAATACTAAATTCTATAGTTATAAGGCAATTTATATAAGTATTTCAGAACATAAATGTGCATAATTTTAAATAAGTGCAGCTTAAATGATGCATTACAAGATGGAGGTTTAATGTGCTTGGCACATTTCTTAAACTAGACTCTAGCTAACTGCCCAGATAATTAACATTACAGATAAAAGAACTGGTGCCTTATAACACATCTATGATTTGACAGATTTCCTGTATGTTATAAATGTGATTTAATTCATATTTCAATAACACATGTTATTTGTGTGAAAATTAAACCAAAAGTGAGAGGTTTTAAAGGCAAAGATGGTAGTTATGTCACAACACAAAGTATTCAGGTTCAATGTCATGAAGTGCACTGTGAGAAGTCCAATGAAAAGTGGGATAGGCAGGGGGAAAAATCAACAAGTGGTGGAGATGACATGGCAAACAACTATTAAATATGGCTTCATCTAATCACTAGTAAAATTCTTATTTAATTGGGCTATTTTGAACATCTGAGAGACTAAAATCAAGTTTGAGCCTTGCAGTTTAATTAAGAGGTTTAAAGTCCAGGGCCTGTGATTTACAGCTGAATCCAGGTCCAGACAGCTTGACAGTTTATTCTAAAATGGAAATTGCCACAACATTTAATCCTTGGAAAAGGTGGTATCCATTATGCATGCAAAATACAGAGGGTTTCTTTTATGTAGAGGTCTACAAAATATTTTAATCTGAAAGGAGTTATAAATGTCTTGAAAACAGAAGGCCACATTCTGGACATTGTCCCAAGCTTTGTTTCAAAATTCTTGCAAGCTCTAATTCAGTTGAAGTTTCTCACTTGATGTGACAGAGCTAAATAAGACTGCAGAATCTGCCAATTTAGTTTTGTTAGCTTTATTTCATATCCATGACTTAAGAAGGAGAGTAATACTCAATCAGACCAAGTCTTATCAATATCAGAATGCTCTCACTTAAGAACCAAAAGGGAACCTGCAAGCACAATATGAATGCAACAGCATTCTCAGTTATGTTCCCTAGCAACTGGCAACGAGAAATATATTGCCTCTGTAACTACAGGTAATATTTTATGTAATGTATATATACATATTATTTTGCACATAAGCATATTTTTTCCTTTGAGTCAGTCTTGACTCCTGGAAACTACATGGATAAATCTTTAAGTTTTCTTGGCAACATTTTCAGAAATGGCTTTCCATTGCTTTTACCCAACTGGACAAAGAAATGTCTAGAACTTTGTTTCTCTGCTCCTAGTTCAGTGCCTTACTAATAGATCAAACTGATTATCACCTTAGTGAAGGAACTGCTAAGGAACTGCTAAAACATTTTGGACAGATGGTCACCTAATCTGTTTAAGGACTCTCAGTAAAAAGGAACACAAAACTTCATAAGGCAAACTACAGTATTCTGGCTGGCAATTCTTACTGTAAAACAGTTTCTTCTAATCTGAATTTTTTTACCTGTAGATTCAACCAAAGATTCTACAGATGGTCTCTGGGGCAACAGAAAAATCAGTAGCTCCTCCCTCTATCTGATGACACATTAAATACAGTATCTGAAAAGTGCTATTCTTTTCTCCTTCAGTTTAGAACTTGGATGGTAGTCCCCCTCACCATGTGCAGAAGTTGCTCCATTTGGCAATGTCCTTTTAGACTGTGTGTTCATTTAGAGCCAATCACATTATCCCAACTGGGAAAAGCAAAACAGAGTGGAATACAGGTAATCTTTTACTTACAACCACTTATGACCCTTGCAGCATCCCCATAGTCACATGATCAAAATTCAGATGCTTGACAATTGGCATGTATTTATTATTGTTGCAGAGTCCAGGGGTCATGCAGCAGAAGGCTGTAAAGTTACCATACTTAACTACCAAAACAACAGTAAATTGCTGAGACCGTAATGTTTCCAAGATTGGATTTATTTCATCATTAGGCTATAGAACAGTGAAATAACAAGGAAAAAAAATGAACCTGTTGGAGTGGAACCAATTTAATTGTGCCTTTGTGCAAGACATCTGCAGACTTTTACAACAGCAATCACACTAAATGTAAGATGCAATATAGATGCAATAAAGTCAGCACAGGAATTGAATAGAACTTGACTGCTTGTCTAAGTGGATCAGGGGTCCCCATATTGTGGGCCACTACCCACTACTGGGCCATGGGCTATTTGCAGCTGGGCCATGTGAGTGGAGGGCTGGCACATGCAAGCAGCAGGCACCAGTGCTTACACTCCACTTGTGTGAGTGGCGAATGCCAGCACCCGCTGCTCTCACAAATGAAGGGGTGTGCACACATGCCTGCCTCTCACACAAAACCATCCCCCTTTCCCCCCCTCCCCAGGCCACCAACCTAGAAAATTTGGGGAACACCATAGTAGGTAGTAATGTCAGTACCTAATAATTGATGGTTAGAATTTTCTCCCACACTGAGAAAATACAGTAAGCCACCAATGCATGGATATGGAAAGAAAAGATACAAAGTTTCCAAAGACTCATTATCACCCTAAGGTCTAATTTTCAGGATGACTGGCATATTGACTGATTTGTTACACATTGTTTTTCTCAGAGGATATTCAAGCCCAGATTATACTTTCAAATTCTATCTTATTGTAGCAGGGATTCCTGAAGAGAAGGTTCAGAAACTTTCCCTGCAGGCAATAATCATATCACTACAGTAAGTGTTACAGGCTGCCTGTGATGGCCATAGATGGTGCTTTGGTGCCTTTGAGATACTATAGGAGACCTTCTCTTATCCATTTTAAAAAGTACAAATGGTAGGGGAATTTTGAGGAACAATACAAATTATATACTTCTTGATGTTCTTGATACAGAGAATGATGTGGACGTGACTAGGGTAATACAGGTAGTCCTCAATTTACAAACCATTAATTTAGTGACCATTCAAAGTTATAACAGCACTGAAAAAAGTTACTTATGGCGCTTTCTCACATTTACGATTACTGCAGGGTCCCCATGATGATTTGATCAAAATTTGGATACTTGGCAACTGGCATGTATTTATGACAGATGCAGTGCCCTGGGGTCATGTGATCACTTTTTGTGATCTTCCGACAAACAAAGTCAATGGGGAAGCCATATTCACTTAACAACCATGTTACTAACTTAACAACTGCAGTGATTCACATAACAATTGTGGCAAGAAAGGTCATAAAATGGGGCAAAACTTATTTAACAACTGTCTTGATTAGCAGTGGAAATGTTGGGCTTAATTGTAATTGCAATTTGAGGACTACCTGTAATCACTTTCCAAGATCTGGACTCTGTTCTCCTGTTAATATATTCCAATGTGAATTTTTAAAGTTGCTAAATGTGGCAACTATTAATACTACTGCTAGTTAATTTCACAGAATTTTCTCTTATTGGGGAAACATCAACTGCCAGTAGCAGGGAAAAATTGCAAAAACATTATTTTCTCTACCATGGCTTTTAGCACTAGAAGAGACAGTTGGATAAACCCACTCATCTAAAGTATATAGAAATGAGTTAAATCTTCAGTAAACGCTGCATATAATCTCAATCCAAGAAATGGAATACTGTAGCAGATTTTACAGAAAGAACAATTTGTGATGAGATCAAAACACAAAGACGCAACACAATATATCAGTGGTGGCGAACCTATGGCACGGGTGCCAGAGGTGTCACTCAGAGCCCTCTCTGTGGGCACGCGCGCTATCGCCCCAGTCTTAGGCCTTCAGCTGGGTTTTATAAAACCTTTTTGCTTTAGGCCTCCGTCGCAGTGTGCAAAAAAAAGGGTTCAATCAATCAATCAATTTCAACTTCTCGCGGGAAAAAAAAAGATCTTCAAAGTTGGAACTGATTGATTGAACTTTTTAGTGCCACCCACTCTGCTGTTACCACCACAGCCACGCCCACCCAATGGACCACACCCACCCAACGGGCCACACCCAGCCGGCACTCGACGATGCATAAGTAGGTTTTGGGTTGCAGTTTGGGCACTCGGTCTCTAAAAGGTTTGCCATCACTGCAATATATAATAGCTCTGAAATACTATTTTTCAAAGACCTGGAAAATAAGATTACTTTTCACACAATTTTCATGTATGTTTCTTAGCAAATGAATATTTAACATTATTTTCTCCCATTCATTATAACAAATTATTCAATTTATAATCTGTAATCACATGTTTACTTTATAGGACAGAAATTTCTATAAGCTAAGACAAATTAATTTCCTTTTTTATTTTGTATATTTGGAAACTGCTCATTTCCCTCACTGAAAGCCTCTGTACAGTGTACAAAGAGACATAACAACACAAAAGCCAGGGCTTTTTTTCTCATAGAACGCCCAGAATGGAGTTCCGGCACCTTTTGGGGATGGAACCTTATAGGGTAGGCAAGGCGGGTTGTATGACTTGTGTGAGTTCCGCCCCCACCTTTTTTTTTTTTTTAGAAAAAAAGCACTGACAAAAGCCATAATATAGATATGCATAATATAGAATGCAAACTATTGGTTAGTTTTTTAAAGCAAAGAGGCCAAAAATCATGTCTGCCTTCTTACATTAGGAAAGTCCAGCACTCTACTATGGTACTA